CCTTTTGAGGACAGAAAACCAAAGTGCACATTTATCAGTTTTCGTTTCCAATCTAGAGCACTTGCCAGTTCTGCACATCTATGTCCAAGCCCCGCGGGCCTTGTTGCACCTCCTTTAGGGACATAAACACAGACACATGGACACGTTTTCCTAGGGATTATTATCTAACATTTACATTAGGATTGCCCTTGAAGTCCACCTCTAGAGCAGAAGCTGCACTTCTTTCCTGGCAAATAAAATATTGGGCAGAGAGAGGAGGGAAAAAACATTGAATTATAAAGATTTCAGAACTAGAACTTCCTGAGACAAAATTAGTGGATTCGTGGGTGAATACGTTCTCAGGAATAATAGCATTTTGGGCATGCACATGTTTGCCTACACTAACAGCTATGAAGATTGGAACAGGCACGGTGTTTAATAGGAGAAAAATGCAATACTGTCTCCATTCATGGGCGTCTCTTTATTTTTTCCTACCTAAGTGGTTTGGTGCCATTCATTTCCATGGGGAAAAGTAATATGCAATCTCCAGAATGAAATGAACTCAACAACCGCCCTTCTCCATCCAGGTTAAATTGCCCTGCGCTTTTTTGGACATGTTCTGCTGTTATCACAGTGACTCTCACCACTCTCTCTCGTTTCGAAGGAACAATCCCAGGGCTCTCCATATTTCAGAAAACCAGGCAACTCTGTTTCCAAAACCTTTCCCCAACAACAACAGTGAAAGGAAAAATAAGAAATAGTGCCAAATAATGTCTGAACAGATTTTATCATTTGCACACCACTCTCCTGGGGTTTTGTTTTTTGGGGGTGGGTGTGTGCGCTGGAGCTTCTCAGTGGCATACTTTTAGATGTTGAAGCCTGCCATTATGTTTGTCTAAGGCACTTTTAGGAATTCTAAAGGTAACAAGTGGATTGTGAAGTGATCAAAGAGTGGGGGGCAACAAGAGGAAGCAATTCTCCATGTGTGTACTACAAGCTGGCTACCTAAGCTGTTTGATCCTTAGCTTCTCTGTGTGTGAGTAGCTCCCCTCCCTCCTCCCACTTTAAAATCCCTACCTGTGCCTGCAGCTGAACAGGAAAGGTCAGTTCCATTTCAAGGCTGTGCAAATAGAGACTGAATCGTTTAGCAGTGACTCATGTGAAAATTAACTTGATGCAAATGCTAATTTGACAACCTGAAAATAGGGAGGCAGTTTCAGCCAGATCAAACACTGGGCTGCAGAAGGGTGAGTATATGAGTGTGTCTGCCCTTCACTGTAGTGGCTGCTCTATGAATCAGGGATTCCCCAAATTGAGTCTTGTTCTTTTCCTTACACTCACCAGGCCTGGGCAAGCCACTCTCAGCCCCAGACTTCAATCTTCCAGGGTTTGTTGATTTAGTGCATTTCGTTAGCTCCTTTCTGCCAATGCAATCAAAGTGGTTTGTAGTTTAAAATAATGGCTTACAATAACAGAGACGTAATGCAAAAGGGGAGAGCAGGGGCAGACTTTGATAATCTTTTGCAATATGGCACTCCGTGCGAGGCCAAAATTTGGCGTCCCCCAAATTGTTGTTGTTGTTTAGTCGTTTAATCGTGTCTGACTCTTCGTGACCCCATGGACCAGAGCACGCCAGGCACTCCTGTCTTCCACCGCCTCCCGCCGCTTGGTCAAACTCATGCTGGTAGCTTCGAGAACACTGTCCAACCATCTCGTCCTCTGTCGTCCCCTTCTCCTTGTGCCCTTTCCCAACATCAGGGTCTTTTCCAGGGAGTCTTCTCTTCTCATGAGGTGGCCAAAGTATTGGAGCCTCAGCTTCACAATCTGTCCTTCCAGTGAGCACTCAGGGCTGATTTCCTTCAGAATGGATGCATTTGATCTTCTTGCAGCCCATGGGACTCTCAAGAGTCTCCTCCAGCACCATAATTCATGAGCATCAATTCTTCGGTGATCAGCCTTCTTTATGGTCCAGCTCTCACTTCCATACATCACTACCGGGAAAACCATGGCTTTAACTACCGTATTTTTCGCCCTATAGGACGCACCGGCCCATAGGACGCACCTAGTTTTCAGGGGGGAAATCAAGGAAAAAAATATGATTTCCCCCCTGCAGCTCTGGGAGCAGCGGACAGGCTGCACGCAGCCTGTCCGCTACTCCAAGACCTTCTCCCCTGCTTTTGCGGGAGGTGGCGGAATTCCCCATCTCCCCCAAAGCCCGCAGGAGGAGAAGGACTGACTCGGCCAGTCAGTCCCTTCTCCCTCCTTGGGGAAAAGCCCCAAGAGCCGCTCGTTCTTTAAGGGTGTGCGGCTCCTGCGGAGCTTTTCTAGGAGGTGGGGAATTCCCCACCTCCTAGAAGCCATGGAGCCCATTTAAAGAGCGCACGGCTTTTGCCTGCTTTTGCATGAGGTGGGGGAATTCCCCCATCTCCTGCAAAAGCCCAAAGGAGGGTTGGAGAGTAGCGGCAAGGCGTCACGCGCCTTCCTGCTGCCCCCCATCCTCTGGGGCTGGCGATGGGGGAAGCGCTGCTTTCCCCACCGCCAGCCTCGAAGCCGGGTTGGAGAGTAGCGGCAAGGCGTCGCGCGCCTTCCCGCTGCCCCCCATCCTCTGGGTCTGGTGATGGGGGAAGCGCTGCTTTCCCCCACCGCCAGCCTCAAAGAGCAGACTCTCCTGGCTTCAGCGATAGCAACGCGAAGCCTCCGAAGCCTGCGCTCCGGAGGCTTCGCGTTGCTATCGCTGAAGCCAAGGAGTCTGCATTCGCCCCATAGGACGCACACACATTTCCCCTTCATTTTTGGAGGGGAAAAAATGCGTCTTATAGTCCGAAAAATACGGTATATGGACTTTTGTTGGCAAGGTGATGTCTCTGCTTTTTAAGATGCTGTCTAGGTTTGCCATTGCCTTTCTCTCAAGGAGCAGGGGTCCTTTAATTTTGTGACTGCTGTCACCATCTGCAGTGATCATGGAGCCCAAGAAAGTAAAATCTCTCACTGCCTCCATTTCTTCCCCTTCTATTTGCCAGGAGGTGATGGGCCCAGTGGCCATGATCTTCATTTTTTTGATGTTGAGCTTCAGACCATATTTTGCGCTCTCCCCTTTCACCCTCATTAAAAGGTTCTTTAATTCCTCCTCACTTTCTGCCATCAAGGTTGTGTCATCTGCATATCTGAGGTTGTTGATATTTCTTCCGGCGATCTTAATTCCGGCTTGGGAATTCCGGTCCCCCAAATAGACCTTCTCAATTATGGATCTTCTCAAATTTGCAGCCCCTTGGCTCAGTGTCCTGTGTGGTGCTGGAGAAAGGGAAGAGGAAAATAAGAAACATTCAAGTACCACAGCTGATGCGGGAAACAGTTCTGGGAGGGAAGATGACAAATGGCAGCTGGTCCCTCCACACTGATGGAGGCTTCAGTGTGAAACTGAATCACAATCTATCAAGAAGTTGAATTCTATCCATATGGGTCTGAATAGAAGAAATGGCTTCCTACCTAGCCCACTGCAGATATTAATTAACTCAGCATTGTCCAGTTGGTTGTTTTAGTATCCGTGTTGTAAAGGGTCACTCTGCTTATTTTGCACACATTCTAACTCTGATTGAAGTGCCATTATCTGCACGTCTTGCATTTCATTTCATTTGACCCCCACCGCCTACAACTCCACCTCCCTTCTTACAACCATGTGCCTATAATAGTATCTGTGTAACTGAGGATTAGACTGCATGAAGTGCCATAATAAAATGTGTTTGTGTTTAAGGTGTGATAAGACTTTTTGTTGTTTTCACTGCAGTAGAGTGGGTACAGGTAAATATATTTAAACAGAAACAGATGTAAGATGACCAGAATATGGGATCGAGCTTTGTGAGGGCTATCCTAACAGCTCCTTCCGGAAGGGCTAGTTAATGGGTGCTGGATGCATTTGAGAGACACCATTTTTGATGTAATTAATAAATCATTGTCACATTGTATAAAACAAATCTGTTCCAGTCAGTTCTTCTGAGGGTCTGAGATGATGTGTTAATTTTTCCCAGCAGGGCTATGTGTCACACATTCTACCAAAGTTTGATTGTGAGTTGGAATTGCAGAATAGCATTGCTTTATCCCCATTTTGCATACATAGAATCAGCTCCACATCCTATATATCTCTATAAAGGTAAAGGGACCCCTGACCGTTAGGTCCAGTCATGGATGACTCTGGGGTTGCGGTGCTCATCTCGCTTTACTGGCCGAGGGAGCCAGCGTGTGTCCGCAGACAGCTTCCGGGTCATGTGGCCAGCATGACTAAGCCGCTTCTGGCGAACCAGAGCAGCGCACAGAAACGCTGTTTACCTTCCCGCCGGAGCTATTTATCTACTTGCACTTTGATGTGCTTTCGAACTGCTAGGTTGGCAGGAGCTGGGACTGAACAACGGGACCTCACCCCATCGCGGGGATTCGAACCGCCGACCTTCTGATTGGCAAGTCCTAGGCTCTGTTGTTTAACCCACGGCGCCACTCGCGTCCCATATATATTTATAGTGGGCCTCAAAAGAATGCTGAGGTATGTGGAATGCTTAGCTGGTATATAACTCAAGACAGAAACCTCAACAAAACAAACCAGTCAAGAAGATCAGCCAAGTGACATTTGAAATGCTCTTTTTTGTTGGGTTGCAAATTATGAGCAGAATCAGGAAGACATTTCCTTTGCCAAAATTGGAGCCTCTTAAAAAAAAAAAAAAAGTACAAGTCCTTGCCTGCTTTCAAAGTGATCTCTGAAGGACAGGACGTATTATTTGGATGAAGCTTATTGATTGGTTGCTTCTTATTCTCTCTTTCTCTCTGTGTTTGAAATCATTTTTGCAACACAGACAGGGAGGAGGGGAGGATGTGTGTGGGGAGAGAGAGAGAGGAAAACACCTGCTGCCCCTTCTTCACAAACTTTGAGATAAGAATAAGCATGATTTGCAAATTTGACCCCATATATATGAAACTGCTTGGGCTCCTGCTTGATTAAAGGGATTTTATTTGATTAAATCTGCATTCATTTGCATGCACGGAGGGGAATTTTGCTTGTAGCTTGTATATGTAGCAGAACGTACCATCTTGAAAAGTCAGTCTTTCCTGTGTGAGAGAAAGAAAGGGGGAAAGCGTTGGCTAAATGAAGATTTTATATGCCTTCTCCTGTATTTGTTTCTAGGCCCAATTGACAGTGCTCGGGCTGCTGGTGTTTAATGCCCTAAACAACTTAATACCTCAAATATCTGAGAGACTGCCTTGTTCCCTACAGACTCTCTCAGGTGTTAAAGGGGGGGTAGTTCTACACCCCTCCCCGAAGTTCAGTGTGTGTCTAATGGCATGGAAATGGGCATTCTTTGTGGCAGCCCCTACATTCTGGAATTTCTTCCTCATAGAGGTGTGCCTGGCACCTTCGCTACACTACTTTCTCTGAATGATAAAGACACACCTCTTTACCCTAGCCTTTGATACTTGAGATGTTTGTTTTCAGGACACACCCTGTTCCTGTGACTGTACAGTGGTACCTTGGTTTAAGAACAGCTTAGTTTATGAACAACTTGGGTTAAGAACACTGCAAACCCGGAAGTAGGTGTTTTGGTTTGTGAACTTTGCCTGGGAAGCAGAACATGTTCCGCTTCCTGTTGAGTGTGTTCCGTTTGTAAATTGAGTTCCCCCGCTATGGGAAAGCACGCCTTGGTTTAAGAATGCTTTGGTTTAAGAACGGACCTCCGGAACGGATTAAGTTCATAAACCAAAGTACCACTGTAATTTGTTTTAACTTTTTAAAATTTGGAATGCTCACTGGAAGTGCTCACTGGAAGGACAGATCCTGAAGCTGAGGCTCCAGTACTTTGGCCACCTCATGAGAAGAGAAGACTCCCTGGGAAAGACCCTGATGTTGGGAAAGATGGAGGGCACAAGGAGAAGGGGACGACAGAGGACGAGATGGTTGGGCAGTGTTCTCGAAGCTACCAGCATGAGTTTGACCAAACGGCGGGAGGCAGTGGAAGACAGGAGGGCCTGGCGTGCTCTGGTCCATGGGGTCACGAAGAGTCGGACACGACTAAACGACTAAACAACAACAAATTCGGAATTATAAAATTGTTGCAACCTATCCTGGGACCTGCTGGTGAAGGGCAGGTAATAAACACAACAACAACAGCTTAGGGCAATTGTCAGCAAGACAAAAGGGTTAAATATCCCCTTCCCTTGTGCTGTGGTCCTGATCCTGCTCACCCCTTGTTCCCGTGATTGCTATTATTACAGGAAAAACAGGCACATAAATGCATTTACACATTTCATGTCACATGTATTTTAGCCCTTGGTCTGGTGTATATTATGTACAGCTCCTAGCAGCATAGTAGCAAGAAAGGAGCAAGAATATGGTACTTCTAGGGTTACCTTTGACTGTTTATTTCAGGCATTAAAAAGAAGGAGATGGGGATATGAGCCTTTTACTACAAAACGGTTCATGGATGGAAGCTTTCCTGCTATGAATGAGCTTCGTTAAAGGTAGTCGTGTTCTTACAGTTAAAACAAATTACAGTGGTACTTTGGTTTACGAACTTAATCCGTTCCGGAGGTCCGTTCTTAAACCAAAGCATTCTTAAATCAAGGCGTGCTTTCCTGCTATGAATGAGCTTTGTTAAAGGTAGCCAGTGTGGTGTAGTGGTTAAGAGCAGTGGACTCGTAATCTGGGGAACCAGGTTCGCTTCCCCGCTCCTCCACATGCAGCTGCTGGGTGACCTTGGGCCAGTCAGGCTTCTCTGAAGTCTCTCAGCCCCACTCACCTCACAGAGTGTTTGTTGTGGGGGAGGAAGGGAAAGGAGAATGTTAACCGCTTTGAGACTCCTTCGGGTAGTGATAAAGCGGGATATCAAATCCAAACTCTTCTTCTTCTTCTTACTTACAGAAACTTTACTATATGGTGAATGGTGTGCATGGCTGACTAGAGAGAATAAACTCTCAGGGGGCTGAGAGTATGGCGTGGTTATTGCGTGCAGCAATTTAATCAAGTACAGCACATGGAAATGTAAAGCATCATCATTGTCCTGAGGAAAGCGCACGCGCGCACACACACACACCACTCCATAGCAAAAATATATGATTTTTTAAAAATCCTTTCATCAAATGCTAAGTGAAAGGCACTGTCAGGGGGGAAATATAGCCTGCTACAATTAACAGTGACATATTTTAATGCTATCCGGAAAAAATGAAAGCATGATGAAAGCCATCAAGCATTCAGTTTTAATTGTCCCTGCATTCTCTCAGAGGGTTTTTGCCAAAGGACTGAGCATTAAATGCTTCCTGGGGTTTCTTTTTAGGATGTAAATGGGACATGTGTCCTGGATAGTGTATCTTCAGCTGAATATGTTTGGAAATAAAAAAGGGGGGGCTTATTCACTTACTGAACTTAAGCGTTGCTGTTGTTCAGCGCTAAACGCCAAGGTGGAATTCAGGCCACACCTTGATGTTCTGGCCAAGGAGAACATGCATCAGGGTTTTTAAAATTTTTATTTTGGATGAAAGTGGGGAACTCCCACAAAATCTTGAGGTTCCGCTTGCTTCTGAAAGATCTGTCTCACTCCACCAGTCCTTTGCCATTGTGCCCACCAGTACTTTCTATCGTCTCAGTAAGCACCCCTTCAAAAATTCACAGTGCACAAGAGGTTGCTTGCTCTTCCTGCTCAGCTGCTGTTTGACCTGGCTTGGCCTCTCCTACATTAAACATAGCCCATTAAACATGTCCATATTTGACTGGATGCCAGGACTGAACACCCACCTTCCCTTCTGTTTCTAAACAGTGGGAAAGTGCAAAAAAAGTCTCTGTGCAAGCAAGCACAGAGCACAAGCGAGATGCCTCTTCCTTCACTAATAATAATAATAATAATAATAATAATAATAATAAATTATTTATACCCTGCCTATCTGGCTGGGTTTCTCCAGCCACTCTGGCAGGCTTCCAACAGAATATTAAAATACAATAGTCTAGGTAAAGGTAAAGGGACCCCTGACCATTAGGTCCAGTCGTGACCGACTCTGGGGTTGCGGCGCTCATCTCGCTTTATTGGCCGAGGGAGCCGGCGTACAGCTTCCAGGTCATGTGACCAACATGACTAAGCAGTTTCTGGCAAACCAGAGCAGTGCACGGAAATGCCGTTTACCTTCCCGCTGGAGCGGTACCTATTTATCTACTTGCACTTGGACGTGCTTTCGAACTGCTAGGTTGGCAGGAGCAGGGACCGAGCAACGGGAGCTCACCCCATCATGGGGATTCGAACCGCGGACCTTCTGATCGGCAAGTCCTAGGCTCTGTAGTTTAACCCACAGCGCCACCTGCGTCCCTCTATTAAACATTAAAAGCTTCCCTAAACAGGGCTGCCTTCAGATGTCTTCTAAAAGTCTGGTAGTTGTTTTTCTTTTTGACATCTGGTGGGAGGGGGTTCCACAGGGCGGGCGCCACTACCGAGAAGGCCCTCTGCCTGGTTCCCTGTAACTTGGCTTCTTGCAGCGAGGGAACTGCCAGAAGGCCCTTGGCACTGGACCTCAGTGTCCGGGTAGAACGATGGGGGTGGAGACGCTCCTTCAGGTATACTGGACTGAGGCCATTTAGGGCTTTAAAACCAACACTTTGAATTGTGCTTGGAAACGTACTGGGAGCCAGTGTAGGTCTTTCAAGACTGGTGTTATGTGGTCTCGGTGGCCGCTCCCAGTCACCAGTCTAGAGGTTTGGTCTCTCTTTCTGCTTATTTAGAAGTGGCCACCATTTCATGACTGGCACCTACAGCATTTTCTCAAAACTCCAAATGTGCCCAATGGCCCCAAAAGGTTGGTGACTGCTTGCCTTACTGAATTTAGGTTAAGGTTTGAATGGTTGCCCCCAAGCAAGTGGAAATCAGAGGTGCTCCACCTCTAAAAAGAGATGTTCCGTATTTAGCTGCCGTTGCTTATATCAAATCCATTTGGACCTCATCTGAGCTATTGGCTGTCAGCATAGCCTTGTAGCAAATACCGCAAGTTGATCTTTTTCTTTGAACCTTAAGTGTTCTTGGGATGTTCTGAAGCGTGGAAAGGGTTGTTTTCAAAATGTGCAGCTTATCTGGTTCAAAGTACTTGATGTTGCTGAGCAATAGATCCAAAAATGCAGTCACCATTATCCATTCCGAAAAGGTGGGAAAGACCTACCCAGATTCCTGACCATTCATCTGCATGTCAACAGGACCTTATAAAATAGCATCATAATAAAAAACGGCACACATCTCTAGCAATCTTCCCTCACCCACCTGAACCTGAGGGAAACTACGTTGCTTTAATTGCTTTGGTTGCTAAGTAATAGAGGCCTTTCAAGCCTCCTTATGGCAAAGAGGAGGAAAAGTGGAGAGTCCTGTGGAAAATACATCTTGAGGCAATAGCATTTCCATAAAGCAAATTAACTGTTGCAGCCATGGCTTGCTTGTGTTTTCCTGAGCAACACCCAAAAAACCCTGAATCCCCTTAGAGAAAAATACAAAAATAATACCAAGCCCTTTTCAGATAACTTTCAGAAATGTTTATGAATTCCCTGTTCCTTCTGCTGTGCCCACACATAACTTAGGTCAGTGGTATCCAAACTTTTTTCAAAGAGGGCCAGATTTGATGAAGGGAAGGGCCGTGAGGGCTGACCAAAGTTGTTTAGCTTTTTTTTTTTAGAATTGAAGTTGTTTAACTTTTTTTAGGGTTGAAGGGTTTTTTTAGGATTTTACCTCAGGAAATAAACTGCCACAGGGGTCGGATTAAGCTGACTGGCGGGCCCGATTAGGCCCCTGTAACGGACTTTGGACATGCCTGACTTAGGTGGTTCCATGAGCATCTAAGATGGCTTCCGAGTCTTAACTTGACAGAGTAAAAATAGCATCCATCAGGAGCAAACGAACCAAGTGGAGACACTAGGCAGAGTTAGCAGGGTCTGACTTGGAAAGCAGTCTTCTCTGAATCTCCTGTTAAGGCAGGAGAAGCAAGGAGGCAGCTACAAGCCCCAGCTGCCTTCACTGTTCTAAAGTTCAAAGCAGTGATTCCCAGCCTTTTTAGTATGGTGGTCCACAAGACCAAATTTACTTGGGATGATGACCCATTGATTCATTGAAGCTGAACGTTAGAATATTCAGAGGAAGATTAAAAAAATGTGTTTCTTCAGGCAGTACGTAGTTAAACAACAGAACTTGCTCCCACAGGAGGCAGTGATGACCACCAAGCTGACTGACTTTAAAAGAGGATTAGCCAGATTCACAGGATAAAGCTATCAGTGGTTATATTCTACCTCGTCGGTCAGAGACAGTAATGCTTCTGAATACCAGTTGCTGGAAACTGCAGGAGGGGGAGAGTCTTCTTGTGCTCGAATCCTGCTTGCGGGTTTCCCCACAGACATCTATTTGACCACTATGAGTATAGGCTGCTGGACTAGATGGGGCATTGGCCTGATCCAGCGGGCTCTTCTTATGTTCATACGGATTTTGGATCACTGGTCTGTGGCAGCTGTCAGTTTCATGCATTTTAGATGCCTCTTTTATAACCATTACTGGAGACATCCTAGCAAAATATGAACTTAATGCCCCTATTAATGTGGAATTCGTTGAACTATTTATAATGCTTACAAAGTTATTCACAGTTTTGTTTATGGGTATGCAAGAACACCAACCACCTGGTTGTGGGTTATTGCTTCATAAGCTATAAAAAAATGTATTCTAAAAACATTACAGTTACACAAGCAGTGTTAGATCTGAAGAACTTCAAACCGCCTTTGCTTAACTACTGACTAACCCTGGCAGAAAATCCAGTGGTGATTTGCTGGTGGTGCAGGGAGTCATTTTGAATGACTGCCGCAGCAGGTACCAAAGGCAAGCTGTGGTGGTGGTCACTCAGGGTGGGTCCCTCTCTGAGCACCTTTTGCTGGCCCACTCTGTGGTTTTTATTGATTTTATTGATTTTTATTGATTTTCCAATAAAAAAACATTCAATTAATATATCCAATCATAATACTCCAGTTAAAATAAAAAACTAAAATAAAAAAGACCAAATTATAGTCCAGCTGCCAGACAGGAGTTAATATGCAAGACTCAAGCCTATCTGCAGTTTGGTTACAAGCATGAAAGCAGTTTTGTCATACGTATGCAAACAAAACAAAAAGTCGCGCAAGAGATTCATCATACCAGCTAAGGCTTCCAAGCAGTAACTATTTTGAGTTTACTTATATAGCCTGTGACACACTTGAAGGTCACAGCCCAAGTGAGAAATACTGGCTTGAACTATTCCCCTTTCCCTGAGAGAGAATTGCTAGGGGTTCTGGATCCATCCTTTTCATTATCAGGGTCTGAGACTTTGATGGCTCTGTACTCTGTACTCTGCTTCCAGAGTAAAAGGTAAAGGTAAAGGGACCCCTGACCATTAGGTTCAGTCGTGACCGACTCTGGGGTTGTGGCGCTCATGTTGCTTTATTGGCCGAGGAAGCCGGCGTACAGCTTCCGGGTCATGTGGCCAGCATGACTAAGCCGCTTCTGGCAAACCAGAGCAGCGCACGGAAACACCGTTTACCTTCCCGCCAGAGCGGTATCTATTTATCTACTTGCACTTTGACGTGCCTTCGAACTGCTAGGTTGGCAGGAGCAGGGACTGAACAATGGGAGCTCACCCCGTCGCGGGGATTTGAACCGCCGACCTTCTGATCGGCAAGTCCTAGGCTCTGTGGTTTAACCCACAGCGCCACCCGTGTCCTGCTTCCAGAGTACATGGTGTCTAAAACTGAGGCCTCACTTCTCCCTGCAACTGAAGGCAGACTTGTAAGAGCAAAGCAACAGGACAGAATAGAAAGATCTTTCCTCTAAGCAAATGCCTGCAAGAGCCATTGTCACTGCCTCTTCCTCTAGAACAGGGATGGGGAAGCTGTGGCCTTTCAGCTGCTGTGGGGGCTCCCAGCTCCCATCAGTCCTAGCCAGCATAGACAATGGCGGCTCACGGCTACCTCGAGATTAGGGACGCACCCATGTATTTATGTAAAGCCAGTACTACCACGAACCCTTTAGATTTGGCAGGACATGCACGTAAACACATTCCTTGCGCTTATATTTCGATTTCCCAAAACCGCCACCCTTGTTCTGACAGGTGTCCATTAGAGCTAAATCTCAAAACAACTTACCGAAAGGAGGGAGCTGCTGCCACAACACTTAGCGAGGAAAAGCTCTTCTTTCAGACACGCCTGCCCCTATCTCCCATCAGCCAGCACCTTCTCCACACCATTCCAGGCGCAGATAAGTGATGTTCTTATACCCTGAAGGTCCGTTCGCATGGTGACATGCTGTTCCCCGCAGTCCCATTGAAGGGCTTGATATGACACATTCTGGGACCTGGTGGCAGGCAGAACGCTGGGCGGACACGGGGCGGGGACTGGAATAGCTGGGCAGCAACTCCCCAAGTAGACAATAGATGCAAATCCTTTAGCAGTGTAAAATCTGTTAACAGAGCAAACCCTGCAGCGCTTTAACACCCAGACGAATAAGACGGCCTGTTTCTCAATCCCAGAGACCCCAACCACCTTTCTTCATACAGTGGTACCTCGGGTTAAGAACTTAATTCATTCTGGAGGTCCGTTCTTAACCTGAAACTGTTCTTAACCCGAGATACCACTATAGCTAATGGGGCCTCCCGCTGCTGCCGGACAATTTCTGTTCTCATCCTGAAGCAAAGTTCTTAACCCGAGGTACTGTTTCTGGGTTAGCGGAGTCTATAACCTGAAGTGTCTGTAACCCAAGGTGCCACTGTATAAAGAAACAGTCAATTCCAGCTGAATTTGATGATGTCAACCAAAGAAATACTCTGCCTCCTGATTCCCACTGCAAATGTGTCACTTATTGGGTCAGATCAACACCACAGACTTAAAATGATTCAGCAGTCGCTCCACCTGCATTGCAGGGGTTTGGACCAGATCAAGGTTTCCCAAACTTGGGTCGCCAGCTGTTGTCGGACTACAACTCCCATCATCCCTAGCTAGCAGGACCAGTTTTCATGGATGATGGGAATTGTAGTCCTAAAACAGCTGGGAAACCCTGAACTAGATGGTCCTTGAGGTCCCTCGAGGCTCCTTCCAAATCTATAGTCCTATGATTCCCAGGGAACTCTGGGAAGTCTGAGAGGAGGCAATAGGAAACCCAAATAATTTTCATTTGAAAAGTACAATTTCCAGGACTATGGCTGCAAAGATTCTATTACAAATTATAGCATTTGTTCTGGAAAGCTATTGTTTATTTACTTATTTTATTTGTGCATCACTTCCCACACAAAAGTCTCAAAGCAACTATCAACAATAAGGAAAACAACATAAGTACAATGTGTAAAACTAAGCCAACTTGGTATCTCCAGGCAGGGTGTGGGGCAGGTGGAATGTCCCCTTCCTGAAACCTTGGAGTGCTGCTGCCAGTCAGTGTGGACACTATCAAGCTGGATGGACAAATGGTCAGTATAAGGCAGCTTCCTATGTTCTTATGTTCCCCAAGCATAGGAAGTCATTTCAGTGGCAGCTTGTAAATAAACCAAGTCTGTCATGAGTGTCTTCTCAACCCTGAAAATTATTTAAGTGTGTAGACTGGGGTGGGATATTATGGGCTGTTCTAGGGTCCTGCAAGGGTAGCCTTTTACAGCTCAAACCTGCACAGTCAAAAGCCACTCAGCCACTCACGTCTTGTATATTAAGCAATTCTCTATGCACAAACTCCCGAGCAATTTCACACACCTACACAACAATCACAGTCTGGAAAATGGTAGTGTTTTTAAATAGGAATATGATGGTAATGTACTGGGGGTGGGAGCTTTAAGTGCTTAACCTCTTGTGCCGCAAACGCTCTAGGCTTTCAACCAGCCTGCCAGCACAGCCTTTTTAGCAGGACAAGGGGATCTGTTGGACTCCAGTGCCCATGAGCTCCAGCCAGCAGGGCTGGGGGCCAGGGATGATAAGGATTATAGTCTTAACAACCTCTGAAAGGGCACAAGTTTCTCATCCCTGCTCTAGAGAGCAAGGACACTCTCCAGGTTGTGGTGGTGGTCTGTGTGCTATCAGCTGACCCCTCAAATAGATCAACACCAGACTTTCTAGGTTAGCCCCTCAGTCTGAGAAAACAGTGCAGACTCTCTTTTACCTAACACCACGTTGCTTTGTACCCACTCTGCCCTAACTCACTTTGTTTATCCGATTTGCTTTGGGATCTCCAGAAGCCATGATTTATACTTCCTACCTCTGGTTCACACAAGACCATTTGTGCGGTCCAGGAGAGGACTGTTATTGTGATAGCTATTTTATTGGCTGTCTGTCAGTACGCTCCTTATTACATTTTGATCACCAGTGTTTTGTAATGTGCCTTTAATGTTTGTACACCACCTTGGGGTCTTTTGATAAAGAGCGGTATATGAATCGAATAAATAAATAATGGATAAATTGAGTTGTGTCGGATCCAGAGTCTGTGGCCACCTGCCACAAACTAGGCCCCAGGCCCAGCTGTTGAATATATAACCAAGCCCATGTTCTGCATGTATTTACTTAAAGCTGAACTCAGGGGCGGGGAACCTCAGACTTGGAGGCTGAGTGTGGCCCTTCAGGCCCCTCTACCTGGCCCTTGAAACTCTCCTCAGGCCGCACCCCCGAAATTGCCTGGTTTTATACCCCCAAGTGTTTTCCCCCGGCTGGAATGTGACATTGAATGCTGATAGGGCCTCTTGCCTGCCTGCATGCCTTGCCCATCTTGAGGCCTGTGAGTTTCCTCAGGACTCGTAAGCAGGAGATAAGCCCCAGCTGCGGCTTCCTGGCTGAATTTCAGCCTAAGGAGTGCTGCCATAGCCCTTTCTCCCAAGGCCCTTGAGGAGCCAGGGTGCTGTTTTGTGCCGGCTAGCAAGGAGAAGAGAAAGCAAGGGAGGCCAGCAAATCTGCCCGCATGCCTTGCCCATCTTGAGGCCTGTGAGTTTTCCCCTGTTTGTTTCTTGCTCTGTCGCTTCTATGGATAAACAGTGGGCGTTTCTTGTTGCAGATGCTTATGGGGAGCAAACTCGATGTGAGAGCCCTTGAGAGTGGGTGTTAAGTTGCTCAAAAGAGGGGGGTTGGCTTGCACAAAATGGGGCTTTCTTCCTGTGAGAGGCCAATGGGGAGCGAATGGGCTGTCATAAGTGAAAAACAGGGCGGGAACGGTTGCCAAGTCCATTGGTTGTTTAATCTGTTTAAATGTCCTAGGTTTTGTTTTTTCCTAGCTATTTGGTTAGATAGGAAATCTGATGCTTTTGACAATGTCGTTTAGCTTGTTTACCTTACGACAGAATTGTTACTTTGGTGTTGGTTGGACCAGTTCGTCTCATTTTTGCGTATTGTTTTTCTTGTTACTTTGTTCCCTGCTCCGGGCCTGGAAATACTCCGCGAAGAGCAGGCTATAAATACTCTTAAAAAGAAAAAAGGGGGGAAAAGTGGCCATTGGGTTGAATTAGGCTTGCCACCCCCGACTTAAACAACTGAAAAATGACAAGGATGTATCACAGCATGGAACATTGTTTTTCCCGTTGCAAATTGTTGTGCTTACTCACCAAAACAGCAATGCAATTTGTTAGAATCCAGGCATAGTATATATGTTTTGAGCAGAAATAGCCTCTTTTAAGAGTATTGGGTTCCTTTCATTTGCTGGCTTTGCGTGAGGCAAATGGTTTGAGTAGTAGTACTCTGAGGAAACAGTCTAGCTGAAAATGTTCCTCCAGGTAAATGAATCGGGAGTCTCTCAACCCACACTTGGTTCTTCTGGGGAATATCCCACAGCCATGTTTAAACACATTTACATTTTCTCAGGAGTCGGGTACTTCTCCTGTCTCCCACGACTCCTGGGAAAACATAAATGACTTTAAACATGGCCACCCTGACAAAACCATGGTGCAGCCATTTTGTTTTTTCTGCGCGTTTCGCTATTGACCATTTTAAGCCTGCATTGTTGGAGGAGGCCCTCCATAGATTTTTTATTTAACCTTAATCCTTGCATGTAAAATGACATTCACAATGGAAAGAGAAAGCTTTATGCCCTTCCCTTCTTCCTGGGAATTATCGCAAGGAGCGGGAAGATAAAAGTTGCCCAAAAATGGGCGTCGAGAATTTGACAACCTGTTCTCCGCCCTCAGTCTCACTTGGGCAGCGATTGAGTTTTCATGTCCTGCTGCTGGCTGGTGAAGTTTTAGCAATGACATACCCAGCTAGGAATCGAATCACTTTGATGCCTTATCTCCCGAGATAAGGTTTAGTGGCCTGTTTGGTGGCTGTTGTAATGCTACTTTAACAGCTTCTTCTTGAAGTGTCACGGAAGTGCTTTATTGCCTATTGTGAGAATGGAAAAGTTGACACCATCCGCAGCAGCAGCAGCCTTTTGCAAGATGGCTGCCAAGGGCCCCCAACAAAATGGCCGCTGCCTGGTCGGTTGAAACTTGTGCCTTTTGCTTTTCCCCTACAATAACTACCACTGGGGGGTGCTGCTTGAAAAGAAGATGGTCTTCATTGAAAACCAGATGTTCACTTTCCATGGAGGATGAGAAGGGGTGGGGGAGACAAGCTGGGCCGCGGGAATTCACGGTATCAAGGGGGCACATCCCACCCACCCACCCCAAATATAATGGCCCCTGTCAGAAGACCTGTGGCATACTGCTTCCTGCAACTGGGAAGCTTTAAATTTTGTGGCTTTAAGAGCAGAAAGGCATCCACACTGGCTGGGGGAGCGGGGGTTCATCTTTTAAGAAGTGGGTAAAATTAGATATAATGTTATTGCTGCTGTGAAATCATGACCTCTTGAGCTCAAAATAAGAGGCATTTGTCTAGTAAGGCACTCCCGTTGAGAGTTTTTCTCCCCCCCCACACTGAGATTCTGCAAATCTCTGGATAGCAAATGCAGGACAAGGTGGGAGAAAAAGGACAGTTTTCCCTGGCTTAAGAGGCAACGTTTTTTGGGAGCAACATTTTTAGGTGGTTTCTACAGCTAGTGCTCGGGGTGTCCTGAGCAGAGAAAAACTCTAAAAATTCTCACTTTCTCTAGGGAATATTGGCCAAAAAAAAAACCCCTTAATGCATCTCACTACCAAGGAAATGTAACAAGCAAATAGAAAGAGGACCTATCCAGTTGACGCTGACACAAAATCCCACACGTACACTATAAAAAAGAAAATAAGTTTCACCCCCCTTTTTTCCTTCTTTTTTCCTTTCTTCTCTGACCTTATACTGTACTCAACACTGTCTCACAACAAATGTAACCGATCTGTAGAAAGAACTTTACAACCTGAAAAAAGAGACAATGCATGTACTTTTGTAAACCAAGAAAATCTTTAATAAAAATGATTAAAAAAAAGTAATAAAGAAAAACCCAGTATACACTATGTAAACGCCACACATTTAATGCACATCCGCCCTGCCCCCCCAAATCTTGGGAACTGTAATTTGTTAAAATACAAATACCTCAAAAGCCCACCTTTTCTGTGTTCTTTGGCACACACAAAGCCTTAAATCCCCATACCGTACCACAACTATAATTGGGGCTAAATATGACCTTTCATTCAGTAATGCATACCTGTCTCCAGCTCACTCCCTTTGTTGTCTCACTTCTGCTGAGTTTTACATTCCTCAGGGCAAATACTCTGTCCTCTTGTACTTTGTAAAGTGCAATGAACATTGATTATATTATTGCCAGTATGGGTATTAACCTCTGAGAGCTCTTTAAGCAGGACAATGATGGTAACTTTTCCTCCCCCAGTGTATGACTCCCAACACCTAGTGCTCAGGTGGAAGTTCCATGACTAACACATGTTATTCAGAAAGATCGACTTCCTCTATGAATGTAACACGAGGTAGCCAACATGAAGCCTTCCAGAAGTTTTCCGTTTCAGCTCCCGCCATCTCTGACCATTGACCAAACTTGCTGGTGCTAATGGGACTTGTAGGCCACAACATTGTGGGGGCTGGGGTGGCAAAACATGGGCTAACCTTTTAAAACACACACACGCCTGAGCTTTAAATGCAGAATTACTAGTAGTTTACATGACACATTTGCTGGGATCTTGGAAAGACGTCCACAGTGAACAGCTTCAGAGTTGGAGATCCTCAACTCTGTATTGGATCAGGACAGGTTCAGCTGAGCTAGCGATTTAGGAATTACATGACGGAAGATTTGCATGTTGTTTTGGCACCACGGCGTGTAGGGAATCAAAAGCAGAGAGCCAGCCTTCTGTCTCCAGAAGGCAGAGGGCGCCATTTGCCCATGCTTGGTAATTTGAGGATAGCCAGTCAAGCAACCAAGTTAATCCTTTTGGCTCACCTGCCATGAATGCTCTGCGTTTGGGCCAGGAATTCATTGGGCACTGTGAGCTTATTTTGGCAGGGCACACATTCATGCCCTCTCATATTTTGAAGATGAAAATGGGGGCAGTCTTGTCTTCATGCAACACCCCTACACCCTTATCACACTCCCTCCATGTTGATGAAGCCTCTCCTCTGAAGAAATGATTTTGCAGTGCAACAGAAAGAGATCTCAGAAACAGGTGTGGTAGCAAACTAAGCATTAGTTTCCTTTAAAACAGAAGAGAAAAGTAGCATTTGTGTGCTAGAGCCTCCAGGGGCCATTGCATAGATCGGATCTCCCTCTCCATTCACGGAGAAGGTGGTCTTCCTCTCAAATCTACTCCTCTGAGTGTGCCGGAATCTCTGTTGCCTTTGCCATTCTGATTTCAGCTCTTTGCCCTCGGTAAAAGCACAAAGCGAGCATTCAGACTTTGGGACATGGCAATAATGAAGAAACCAACATGCCACCTTGAGTCACTGAGAGACCCAAAGGCAACAGATTTTCAGCAACTTGGAGTGACCACCTTCTTTTCTGTTAATCGGAAGATGGTGAAACGCAAGTATACACAGATCTGGGACTCATAACTGGTTTGTTTAAATTTGCAACGACAGTCTGGAGTTGGAAATGCTACTTTTAAGGATAGTCCCCAAGAGGACCTAAAAGTCAGAGAAATGCAAAAGTATAATTTAGAAATCATTCTCCTCACCTGCATCTGGTATTTGAAGTTAGTGTGCAGTGCTATATATGGCTATACAGTTGGGTATTGTTTATGCTGGAATATTTAGGAATATTTTGTTTCTTACAATAAAACTTTCCTAAAACTTTAAAAGATAGTGTGTTCTGCTGGATCCAAAGCCCTTTTGTTCCTCTGACAAACCTGGAACAGGAGGAGAAGAGGTTGTCAGCCAACTCTGGAGCTGGCACACTTATTATCGCTTCCATTGGAAGCAGCAGAAGGGAAAATCCAGGAAAACAACTCACCTGAAGAAAGGTGGAAAAGGGGAAATGTTGGCACAGTTTTCCACTAACAGTCGTACCTTGGTTTTCAAACAGCTTTGTTCTCGAATATTTTGGCTCCCAAACGCTGCAAACCCGGATTCTGGTTTGCGATCTATTTTTGGAAACCGAACGTCTCGATGGGGCTTCCACGGCTTCCGGTTGGCTACAGGAGCTTCCTAGGTTTCTGAACGTTTTGGAAGTCGAACAGACTTCTGGAATGGATTCCGTTCGACTTCCAAGGTTACGACTGTACTTGTTCCTCTGCCTCAGACTCTCCCTCTCCTGCCCCTGTGTGATTGCCCTACCCTGGTATGGTCCAGTGCAAAAGTCAAGCATTTTTCAAACGTATTTGTTTGAATGGGAAATGGTTTACCCTCAAACTTCACCCTTTTGTGACAATCGATGGGCTCTGAAAGTGCTTAATTCTGGCTGGAGCTGGCCTTTAATGTTCCACAGTAGGCCTTCATTTTGTTTTATTTTACTTCGTTTCGAAATAGATCTGGTGGTGCTTTTTATAGAAATGGCTGCCACTCAGAACACACTCAAACATTTTATTATCTGGATAAGCAGCTGGGAGAGTGGGAATGGGATGGAAGCTGGTGCAAATATCCACACATTAGCAGCCTTAAAAAAAGAAGGCAGCCTAATACCCCAAACCCAGAATAGCTACAGCAATAGACTGCAGAGAGGTATGAGAAAATAGGGACTGTCCTATCTTAATGGGGGAAGTTGGACCGTGTGCAAGCTAAGGAAAGAACCAGGGCCAGAGATCTGATGGCTTATTCAGTTGATCTATGATACAGCAGCGTGATGAATTATAAGCATGCTGGATATGCAGCTTCAGAATAGCTGCCATAACTTGGGGTCAGGGGATATGGTAGCTAGATCAGGGTTGGGCAGGCCTTAAGGCTCGCAAGATCCACTTTGCTTTTAACTGGAACACAAAGACCCGCCAGGTGGAGGGCTGATACAAAAGATATACACTTAGTACATGACAGCAGGGGTATAAAACTCTGCATGTTGTGGATATGGTGAAGTTTTCCTTGCTCTCTTATACAGTGGTACCTCAGGTTACAGACTCTGCTAACCCAGAAATAGTACCTTGGGTTAAGAACTTTACCTCAGGATGGTAAAATTTCGAGGGTTGGCATGGTGACAGCGGGAGGCCCCATTAGCTAAAGTGGTACCTCAGGTTAAGAACGGTTTCAGGTTAAGAATGGACCTCCAGAACGAATTAAGTTCTTAACCCGAGGTAGCACGGTAATACTATGAGCATGGCTGGGGCAGCCCAGTCTGATGGGCGTCATATAAATAATACAATTATTATAATTGCTATTATTACTAGGATCTGGGGACATGTTGGAAGATTCGGGACAAAAGGAACTAATTCTTCACACAGCCCTTAGTTAAACTGTGGGGCTCGTTTCCACAGGAAGTAGTGATGGCCACCAACTTGGATGGCGTTAAAAGACGTGTTAGAAGCATCAGTGGAGGATAAAACTATCTGTGACTTCTATGAACAAGTGGCTGTGTCCCACCTCAACTCCCAGAGGCATTAACCCCCTGAAAGCCGGTTGCTGGGAATCACATGTTAGGAGAGAATGCTGTTGCAGCTGCTGGAGGGTGGAGATTGCTGCTTGCGGGCTTCCCATAGGCATCTGGTTGGCTGCTGTGGGAACAGTGCTGTGCTAGAATTCTGAGCCCAAGAATTTGTACCCAAACGGATCCCTTCCATGCAAGGATCCACTCCTGGTGGGGTGGGTGGGTGCTGAGATTCATTTTGTTGCCATTGTTAAACTTTTGGGAGTCAGACGCCCTTGCCAATCTACAGTGGTACCTCAGGTTAAGAACTTAATTCATTCTGGAGGTCCGTTCTTAACCTGAAACTGTTCTTAACCTGAGGTACTACTTTAGCTAATGGGGCCTCCTGCTGCCACTGCTCCACGATTTCTGTTCTTATCCTGAAGCAAAGTTCTTAACCCAAGGTACTATTTCTGGGCTAGCAGAGTCTGTAACCTGAAGCGTCTGTAACCTGAAGTGTCTGTAACCCGAGGTACCACTGTACTTGATTTCAAGATGCCAGGCTTTAGTCGAGCTTCCTGCATTGTTGTGGGATTAGATGACCCTAGGAGTCCCTTCCAACTCTACAAAAAGATAAAATTAAAAAAATGATTCCATGAATGTAAAGAGCTCCAGGCAGATTTGTTTCAGTTTTCTGTTGCTGCTTTCTTTAAAAAAAGAAAAGAAAAATCTTGTTAAGCGCCTAGTAATTTTAAAATCTGATATTAATTAATTGAATTAAAATAATCAAGAGCTTTCTAGGTGATCAGCCTGACCTTTATTTAGCACTAAATGGGATGTGTAAGAGATTCATTAGGATGGATGTTATAAACACATTAATAGAAATTGGAATGCAAAAAAGAAAACCCACATAAAATTTTAGAGGAGTGAGTTCAAAAGTGTGTGTGTGTGTGTGTGTGTGTGTGTGTGTGTACACACACATTTTGATTGCACCTGAGATTTCTTGCAATGAACACTCCACATCTCCAGTTAAAAGGCTCTTAGTGATCCATCCCCATACCTATTTCCTGTTGTGGAGATGGGGGCGTGATTAATGAAATCAATCCTCCTGGCAAACTGGGAATATCCCCTCCCTCGCCCAAGTTTAGGATATTCCACCACTCTTCAGCAGTTTCTTTAAGTGGCTCACGTAAATGTAAACAAGCTTTAATAACAAACTGAGAGAAAACCTTAACAAAATAGCATAATGTCTGAGAGAAACTAAGACAGCATCATGAGGCAAGAAAACAAGAAGAGACCGTTGGTCCTCTTAAGTGACACTCTTAACGGAACACACACTGAAGGGAGGGGCTGATACCGAAGCAAAACACACAAGCCCCGCCCACCAGATACCAAGCACTCTACTATTCAAATTAGGGCCTAGTGTTTTTCTTACATTTCCAACCTCTGTCAATTTCATTCACACATGTTCTGTCCCATTGCAGCATAAATTAAGCACTAAATTTTGCATTTAGTGCTCAAACCCCATTAATCTGTGATTTAAAAACAAATCCATATGAAAATTCATTAAATACACATTTTATTATTTGATATGAATGTGTGCTGGTTGCAGAGCTAGTGATTTCCTCTCAGCTACCCAGTGAGCCTCATAGCAAAGCAGGGATTTGAACCCAGGTCTCCCTATTCCAGGTCCACTACACCACATCAGATCTCTCCCGCTTCCCTTTGAATAGTTTCCTTGTATTTAAATGCATCACATGGAACAGGAATAAGGAGAGTGAAGCAATTGGACCTTATCTCGTCCTCTACCTGTTGCCGAGGCTGCATAGGGCATAGCGAGATGCAGAAGGAGACATGATCTAGCCCATTTTCAGGAAGATTAAGTCCTCTCCTTCGGATTAGTAAGAGGACACCGCTGCAAATGTGTCCGAATTCTGGGAAACGGCCCTGACCAAGAGTCTGTAACAGTATCCTCCTAGCCTCTGAGCCTCTCTCCATCTCCAGTAATCTCTACGTCTAAAATCAATACGGCTGCTGAACCCCATCCATTTGTCATGAGTGTTTGTTTCCTGTGATTTCTTGTCCTCTTGCCAGGTAAGTCCTTGGCTAGCGATGCAGGCCAAGTCCCGCTGCACAAATGTGCCAATGTGACTGCCAGACGGCGCGATGCTGGCTCCCGTTACAGCCATATCAGAGAGGAAGCTGGCTTGGGACGTTAATTGTGTTTTTTTCCTAAAGGCCACCCAGTGAATCTTGGGGCACGGTTACATGAAGCTAAGGCTGGAGACAGACGGTCATTTCTAAGAGGCTTGGAAGCTGTTTGAGAGGCCTCGTTTCCCATGGTGTGCAGCAACACATTTATTTTGCCACTCGGCAAACGTGCAAAATGTGTGCAAATGGTACAAAACTCTAAAAAAGAAAAAGCACCTAACAAGTCAGAGCCAGGAGTGGGGAAGCCACCAGGAAAGGGCCATTGGTGGACCTCTCAACCAGTAAGAACAGAGGAAACTGCCTTCTTCTGAGTCAGACCGCTGGTCCATCTACCTCTGTATTGTCTACATTGACTGGGGGTGGCTCTCCAGGGTTCCAGGTGGGAGAAGAAGAAGAAGAAGAAGAAGAAGAAGAAGAAGAGGAAGAGGAGGAGTTTGGATTTGATATCCCGCTTTATCACTACCCGAAGGAGTCTCAAAGCGGCTAACATTCTCCTTTCCCTTCCTCCCCCACAACAAACACTCTGTGAGGTGAGTGAGGCTGAGAGACTTCAGAGAAGTGTGACTAACCCAAGGTCACCCAGCAGCTGCATGTGGAGGAGCGGGGACGCGAACCCGGTTCACCAAATTACGAGTCCACCGCTCTTAACCACTACACCACACTGGCTCCCTACCTGGAGATGCCAGGGATCAATACATGGGTCCTTCTGCATTCATGATAGATGTTCTACCACTGAGCTATGGCCCTTCCTCAGGTCAGAGAAGATGGGGCACTCAGAATGCAAAATGTACTTGCCCGATAACCCATGCAAACAATCCAATCCATGTGCTAATTGCTTTT